CTATAAAGGTAGGTAGTACTTCTTCTAGCTAGGGTTCCTAGATCCCCTATATCTTAGTATCCTCCGATACTAGTTCTTCGTTACTACTCGCCGGTTAGCCTAAGCTTAGTACTTTATTCGATATCTTTATTAGGCTTCCTCTATTTCTAGAGCTCTCCTCGGTAGGGGTTTAGGAGCCGCTACCTCCTAAACTCCCGGGTCCTACGGTAGTAGCTGCCGGCGTCCCCTACCTAGCCTCCCTAATTAAGAGGTATACCGGTACTCGGTAGTACCGCTCTCTTACCTATATAAAAGCTTATACCCTCTCGATCTCTATAATAAAGTCGGGGTACCGCTTCGACTATCTATTATATACGCCCCTATAATTAGCGCACTTTCGTTTACTTAGAGTTGCCTCCTTTTTACGCTAGTAGTCTTAAGAATAATACTTCTTAGCGTAAAAGATATACTTAGTTTTATTAGAATAGGTGTTTCCTATATATCCGTATTTCTAATAGTTGTGGTATTAGCGTATACGCGTAGCCCGGTTATATAAGACCGTAGTAAGTACCTTAGAGTCCTAGAGTATTCTAGTATTAATAGCCTTATTTATAGTATACGGTAAGGTAAACTCGACGATTAGTAAGCTAGATTTCTTACCCTCTAGGAGGATAAGCCACGAGATCTAGGTAATCTCCGCCTCCCCCTAGTTAAACGAGTTCTTAGTAAGCAATTGCTTTACGATCCCTAGCTTCCAGTCCCTAATCTCTGCCGCCGTATTAATACCGAGGGACCGTATATTAATATTATATATAATAACCCCCTAGCTCGGTAAGCGTACTTCCGATCCCTTCTATAAGTGCTTTACCTACGTAGTCCTATAGTATCGTATAATCTCCGCTTCCTTTATAGTACGAAGGCTAAGCGAGATATCTCCCGATTTCAATTGCTTCGCCGTAACGAACTTAGCTGATACTACCGTCACTCTATACGTAGCCTTTGCTACTTTTATACGCGCTTTCTCCGCTAGCTTTGTAATCTTAGTAGGTATTTACGTACGGAAGTATTTGATACTATCGGAATCACCTAGTTTAATAATAATCTAGCGGTCCTAGATAAGGTCGGAAGGCGATATAGGGTTAGTCGACGCCGATCTATAGCTTAATAAAAAGTACGTCGGCGGCGGCGCGCTTTTAATAGCGTCGACGTACGATCGGATTCGGTTCGATCCGCTAGTATTAGTATTGATATTCGAGGAGGCAATTCTTACCGTATAGATATCTTGTTTAATCTAGCTAGTCTCCTAGCATAGCTGTTTAAATTGCTGCTTCTAGTCCTAGCTAATAGGGTTCTTAATGAGATCTATGGTAAGCTCCTAAATAGACTTAAGGTATTCGAGCACTGGTCTCGGGACTTTAATAGAGTTGTTACTACTGATATGATTTAGTAGCTAGCGTACGTCGTAATTGGCGTCTAATATACGCTCGTTAATATTGCGTGTAGAATTTTCGCGGCCCCCTGAAAGGGGCGGCCACTGGCTCCCTAGCGCCACCATACCTTCCACCAATATAAAATTGGGGTTAGGAGATGGAGCCGGAAGTTACAATTAACTTGCAATTAAAATGAGAGCTGTAGCCCTCGGCGTTGTGGTGCAATTTCAAAAATTAGATTCGCGCAGAGATATGTGTTTTTTCAAAATTAACAGTAATGTAATGCACTTCGATAGATGTCCAGCAGTTAGGTTTATATTATGTTCACTAAAATAATAGCTTTTGAATGTAGTAGTTATAGTAATATTTAGGAGGCAGCTTATATCTAATAAATTTAATAAATATCAGATTGCGAGACCGCAACAGGCAAGAGCCCTTGGTTTGTATGGGATTTTTAGAATTTGATTCGACTAGACTGGTAACTTACCTCGTATTTCGTCCGATATCCCGTACCATACATAAAGACTGTTCAAACCAAGGAAACCACTATTTGTATCAGCTCAATTTCGAGGCTGCTCCAACTCACACGCTGCAACATTATAAACCCGAGGCTGATCCCTACCTGGAACCCCGAATTCTTGTCCCCAAACGATACAGGGATCATTGTCAAAATTCAACGCACACAATGTTTAAGTTGGAGTAGAAACAATGTTTCAGGCCCCTATCATTCGAAGCCCATCTTCAGCCTCAATATCAGGTGACTTCTTAGACGCTAGGCGTTCAGTGGGTTCAGCACCAAGTCAGTCTGGGGCTTTCTTCTCCTCACCTATCGAACCTATGGGAGCGGGGTCTCCTAAGTGACAACATAGACCTAGTCGAATGAACGATGTCGCATACGTTTCCAAACCCGCAAAATGCCGACGTCCTTCAACCAGTCACCATCGGGATATTGCCGCTCTGCCCAGCCCAAAATCACGACCTATCATAGGCCGGTCTTATGCACCTTGATATGTACCCAGAATATTACGTGTTTTGTTAACGCATAAATATGGCAGTAGGTGAGGCTGAATAGCGATTAACCTCCTCTTCCCTCCCTCCCTTTGGCCCTCTAAAGGACATCGCTGCCATAAACCCCGGTACCCACGCCAGAGACCTCTTTGCTACGTTGGCAATTTCTCCACTTCCTACTTCCACCTGCGCCTTTGTGATGCCTGACCCGGAAAACTACACAGTGGGTTGGATTTGCGCTATAACCACTGAATATGTTGCGGCCCAAGCGTTCCTCGACGAAAAACATGACCGCCCTGCGTATCTGCCGCCCCACAATAAGACCGACTACACTTTAGGAAGAGTTTGGAAGCATAATGTGGTTATTTCCGTTTTACCTATGGGTGAATATGGCACGAGCTCGGCAGCTCGGGTGGCAGAAGACATGATACATAGCTTTCCGAATATCCGTATCGGCCTCATGGTCGGCATCGGTGGCGGCGCGCCAAGCCAAAAGCATGATATCCGTCTTGGGGATGTCGTGGTTAGCATTCCCCGCAATAGTCAGGGAGGTGTCCTTCAGTATGATTTTGGCAAGACGATCCAGGGGCAAGCCTTCCAGCCCACGGGCTATTTAGACCAGCCGCCCACCGTCCTACGCGCAGCAGTAAATGGACTTGAAGCCCAATATGAGAGCGAAGGAAACCAACTGGACGAAATGGTCCATAAGATCCTCGAGAAGAAGCCGCGACTACGAAGGAAATATCAGCGTCCAGATTTAGCTACTGACCAGTTATACCGAAGTCAGGTTGTTCATCCTGTAGACGATGATTTACCTTGTACTTTGAGTTGCGGTGAGGATCCGTCCTGCCTAGTGCCGCGATCCCCCCGCGGCGAAGATGATGATAATCCGGCAATTCATTACGGCCTTATTGCCTCGGGCAACCAACTCATGAAAGATGCTTTTATCCGAGACAAATTGGCTGCACAAAAAGACGTTTTGTGCTTTGAAATGGAAGCAGCTGGATTGATGAATCACTTTCCTTGCCTAGTGATCCGAGGAATCTGCGACTATGCTGACTCGCATAAGAACAAAGCCTGGCAGGGGTATGCGGCCATGGTTGCAGCTGGGTATGCTAAAAACGTTTTGTATCGAATTGCTCCCCAGCTGGTCGAGCAGGAGGCAAAAATTATCAATATTCCGAAGGAAGGAAATCACTATACAAGCATTACTTTCGGAAATCACAACTCCGGCTTTCAGGTTGGCGTGAATGATGGCCCTATCAACGCAACGTTCGGGGCAAAGTGATTGGCATGTACATACCGTAGTGGGGAGACAAGCTCTCCACTATACATTGTGCTCTCCTCTTCTTAATCTTTATGAGTTTGTTTATGTAAGCGTTGGGTTATGAGGTGACAAGTAGCAGGTAGACACAGATTGAGAATACACACTCCTACGCCCCTACACCTTTCTGGATCCACTTCTTAGGCCGTGCACCTAGGTTCCTTTATATGCGAAGTTAGTATGAAGCTGAACTACGAGTGGTGAATTGACGCGTATACCTTAGAGCATACTGCCTTGAGCGTTCCCATCACAGCTCATCCTTGTCTAGGGACGGATCAACACCAGACTTTTCATGTAACGTTTCAACAACACGCCAACTAATAGAGAAAAAAAAAAGAAAAGAAACGCGGGCTGATTTCCTTTCATGGAGTGCAGCAAAGCAGCGAAGTATTGTGAGTCCCGATAAAATGGATATCATCCGGTGACGAGGTTGCCTGGAAGATATCCAATGGGCGGGATCGTGCGAAAGCAAAGATACCAAATCATGCAGACAGAATTTGTTGACACATTATCCCCATACCAGTTCGACAGGATGAGGGGGTTACAGGGAACATTACCGTTAAAGCATATGGTGACCATCTCATTACCCTATCTGGATGTTGAAAGCGGTGTCCTTTGGAATGGAATATGCTGCAGTGGTTGCAATATTTTTTCCGAAGAACTCACTAGGATAGACTAGCAAGCTTTCCGTCGAAGAATCTCTGGTCTTTGTGAGACAAAGTGTACCCCTATAATGAATTTATGGAATACCTTTGGGAATGTCGAGAGGCGCAAAATTTATGGAAGTTGTGGAATCAAAGGATGGATATATCTCGAGATTGGTCAAGCGTAGAGGCTGATATACTGGAGTTTCTTCCAATTGAAAATGGAACACGCCATAGCTTTAAGTAGAAGAAGAGGATGTATGTGGTGAGGTGAGTGAGTCATATATACTAGTGGCTAGTGTTTGTTAGAACCAGTAATTATGTGATCATTTCTTAGTAAAACTTCTGTAAATAAGCTAGCTTTCTCTTTATTCTTTCTCCTCCTCTTTCCACCAGTCTGGCCAGATAGTCAACACAGTTGTCCACGGGTACTGCTTCGTCGTCATGTTCTAAGACACTCCACCGCCCCACATTCAGGCCCCACTTAAGCTGCAACGACCCGGGTCACGTGTCCGAAGATCATTGAACCCCACCCGCTTTCTTTTACTTCGCTTGTCTTTCGCATCACCAAAAAGCCAACCACGACTTGATTCCTTCCTGTCATATTACACTAAAATGTTTCGACGGCCACGCGAAACTCAGCCCGACCCCATTACCTCGGAAATCGGTGAGATACTTACACCTCTGGATATCTTTCCATGGGGACCGCTTGCAATGCACTACTTGGGCGTTCCCATTGTCGTAGGTGTAAGTTGGGTTATCACTCATTCATATTTTAGCGCCTGCTAATTAGGCTGTACAGAATGCTATGGTTGCAGTCCGTGATGAGGACTATGAGCTGGCATGTCAGAAGCTGAAGGACTGGGCATTCTACGAAATAATCCCTGACCGCTCGATTCCTCCTGAGATATTGGCAACGCTCAGTGATCCAGATCAAGCAGTTGAAGAGGTTGAGAGAGAGTACCAACGTCTGGATAACTCAACTGTGACGTTCGAATATCCAACCAATCACCACCTAGCAGGGAGTCTACAGTTGACGGTGGCCCCAAACTCCTTCGCAAACCTTCCGATACCGGATGTGACTGGTGACGTGAAGCAAGATTTGTTCTCTACCAGTGGCTACGACGTATATGGCAATATATGTGAACCACTCGAAGAGGCGTTAGTTGAAAGTTTTGTGAAGGGCGTCATTGACGATGAGGACGACGAGAATGCCGAGTTTTCTGCTTGGGGAGAGACGTTGAGCACCTGGGTGGCCATGATATCTGGATATCTTGAGGTTAATAATGATATTCTCGATAGATGTCCAGACGAGCGAGCGGTGAATTGGTTTAGTGTGCAGTATGGTCGAATACATGAAGAGAAGTTCGGCCCCTGGGATAGGCGTGTCTCAAAACGACTGGGTTCCGGAAGGGAAATTCCCGTGGATATGAGAGGTAACCTGTTGCCTCAATGAGCTCTGCAGCATTAGGCTTTTCCATACCTGGGGAGTCTGGAAGCAGACAAAAGAACCTTATTTCCATTTTATGAATATCAATAGACTTCGAAACGCTTTCAACACATTGCACAATGAGTGTATTGTGTCAACGTACTTAATTTCTCCCATGATGCAGATAGACTATGTATGTCGATTTGGAAGTCTAGATAGAGGGATTTACCATGCATTAATTTGGGTGACTGCATAGTACCACTGGAGAAGTCTTTTGCATAGATTCTGTGAACTGCCTATCCCTCATAAGATCCCGCTGCACAAGTAGGAGCCTTCCATTCTTCTGGGACCTCTTTTCTCCTAGAGCTTCTACCGGTTTGTCATCCGATCATCATATTCGGCGATCAACAAGCTCGGAGACACTGCTCTCCTCGGTCGTTTGATTGTGTAGAACGGTGGAGGTCTCAATGGGGGAGCGGGGAAGCAAGACAGATCATCTAGAGAAAACAATATTATTAGAAAGTTGTTGAATAAAGCAAAACTGTTTAAAACTTACTAATTGCCAAATATTTCCCTGCATGTGATGATTCGGCGGAGGCCGCTTCGTAGCCGAGGCCTTTCCGCGAGAATGCTCGACAACGCACGTTGCAATTCTGGGTCTTGGTCAAAGTTGAGTTCTGGTGTTTGAGGCTTACAATATCTCATCAGACGAGAGACGTCCCGGATATCTGTCGCATGCTTAAACCCCTGGCGCTGGTGTTGTGACAGTATCTTCTCGCGTGTGAGCCATTCAGGGCTGAAAAGCTTCACTGGATACCCATTGACGAATTTTGTCACTCGTGACGCAGTTTGAAGATTGTATTGTGGTCTGTTCGGCCATCTTTCGTAATCGAAGATCTCCACCTCCACAAGACGTATGGCGCCTCCGGGTAAACGTAGCTGGTACGCGGGGATGATATGTCCGTACTGGCTCACAGAGCCGAAATCAGAGGGGAAGGAATTCACTAAGGTTTGAGTGAGCACATCTGCAGTTATGGATCGCTGGTCAACGTGAATCACTAGATCCACGTCTTCGGTCCGTCGGCTGGGGTCGGGCGCAGTGACACAAGCAGCCGCGCCTCCCATGAAAGCATAGTCAACTTGCAATGAATCTAGGCATTCCGCAACCGTGGCAATGGCAAGTTCTAACTGGGGTTGTAACAGGGCAGGCATGCTGAGAACTTCCTGTAATATTCCGTTAGCCTTGGGGTGGTAGAGTGAGCAGAATGCGGTTTATTGATGCACGAATAAGACCGTTGTGTCAGTTAGGAGACAAGGTGAACAGACGATGCGACTGCCGATCAGGTGCAGGCAAGACAAAGAGAAAGAAAAGCATGAGGTGAACTGAGCTACTAAGTGAGAGAGGTAGAGAGAGGTAGAGAGAGGTAGAGAGAGAGAGGTAGAGAGAGAGAGAGAGAGAAAGGGAGGGAGAGGTGAAGGACAATCGATTAGATCCTCGTGGGAAGCAGTGGTCATATCCGCCTTAGGCAGGAAGGCTGCCTCAGTCGGAAGGTTAAGCCAGATTGGGAGTAGGAACCTCGGAACCTAATTACCCGCAACATCCCTGTACAGTTGATTATGTACCTAGATACTATGTTGAACATGCCGGAGGGCATCACAATACACCAGCTAATGTTTCATTTTAAGCGCCTACTTTGTGATCATCCAAATGCCCAGTATGCACAGACACTAAAAGCAGGCCATGCCAGAGAAGATAACAATGATGTATTCATGAACATCCTTGGGTATTGTTCATCCTATTTCATTTTATAGACCTGAAGTAGTAGGAGAAATAATATGCAAATATTGTGCTTCATAATTATCGAACCCCATCTTCTTAGAAATCCGACTCTAGGTTAGGATAGGTATTTTACTAACGATGCACATTTTTCATATGAATCATATCATCTACGTCCTACAGAGTACCTATATCGTATAATGTCTAATCACTATTGTTTTTCAACTTCTATTGGTTACCACTCGCAGCTATTGATTGAAAGTAACAATCAACACATTGCTTTTTCCATCAATAGTAAGCTCTAGCATTGCCTGCTCGAAACGCACGTCCATGGATGAACGCGTACCCACACCCTCCCAGTCCAGACCAATTCCCGGATTTTATCTATACTGATCAATAGGCTGGTACCTAGGTATAACCTTATAACGTTACATTGCCATCGTGTGATCAGTTCTTGGACAAGCTGTTGTGGGAATTCCTAAATTCCTACAATAAGCCCGATACAACCCCACAAGCCACTAAATACTAGCATGGATATCCAATTTATCTCCTGCTTCATATGGACTGGTTCACATGGGGTGGGGAAAAGCATCCGACTAGACCCGCGGTCCACCTTGCCACATATGGAAGTGTATGCATGGACACAGACAAAGCGCCCCGCACGTTGATTCCATGCGGTGTAGACATCGACCGAGCGGAGCTAGGTACATTCGACGGAGGGAAGATTTTCTTCGCACGGAATGCGAACCGGGATTTATGCGACTGTAGCTTGTCCTGAGAAACCGTTGGTTCTCGCGCAGATCAGCTAACCGATAATACGTATGACCTATCATACTCCAGGAAGATGATGAGGGAATTTCCCACGTACATACTCAGAACCAGTTTAACGTCATACCGAAACAAAGAAAATATCATGGTTGATTGGAAAGGTTCGAAGAATCTCCGGGTTTCCGTGTTGTCCGTGCTAGATTCGAGTGGATATATAAAGTGGCAATTGGCGGGTGTTAAACATTATTCAAATCTCGAAGTTCAAAATGGGTGTCCGCAATTATACTATTTCACAGCACCATAGAGCCGTCGCTCCTACCGGTCGGATTCATCTTCCAGTCAATGTAACAGGCAATATACCCAATTATAAACGCCTTAATGAGTGGCCTGTTATCAAGTCATGTGAAATCGCCCTAGGAATACGCGATGTATCCCTTCAGGTTAGGCAAACAATATCACATTCATGCATTCAAGACTAAATAAGTTGAATGTAGCTCAAGATCCCTCATTACGACATTGTCCCTTTCAATCCAGCTCCCCCATCGGCTGTTATCTATTCACACGCCAATTTCAAGGCTTCTATCCATCCAGAGAAAGCCGGAAATACTAAAGACTTCTATGAGAGATGCTTTTCCGAAGCCGCGGCAATTAACCTGTTTTTCCCCGATATACGATCGGAAGGCATCCGCATATGCATGACCGCGTGGCTGGCTGCAAACTGCGCGGCAGACGACATACTTGAGGCCATGCCACCAGCTGCTGCCATGTTTGCTTTGAAGGAGGCAATCCTGAAGCTCCAGGGGAAGAGATCAGACGGTACGTAAATGAAGATGAGGTGCTGGAGTCCTTCCAGCAATGAGGCTGACTCCTATCAATAGTCTCTCCGACAAACAAGGTGGCATCAATCCTTTGCTTCTTTCAAGAATATTGCATCCAGCACCTTCGCCTATGTGAAAACACCGCCCGCGAACTTAGTGGCGATATATGCGATATGTGTTATGGCTTGCTTGACGAGCTTCGATTTCGGCAAGGCATCTTGCCCAACAACCTGGAAACCTATCTGCAGTTCCGCGGTAGGACGATGGGGATTCATCCATTTTTCACTCTGATCCGAACACTACACGAACCAGTCAAAGAAGAATATCTCGCCGGCCTCCGAAATCTCCAGGCGGGGGTTAGTTTAATCCTAGGGCTACAGAACGACCTTGTAGGTCTAGAGAAAGATCGTCGAAATGGCGAGACCATGAATGCAGTCTTGGTGTCCCTAAAGGAACAAGCGGGGATTGATGTGGGTCACATGAATATGATATTGCCAAGGACGTATCAAGATGTGTGCGATATCCACAATCTTTGTGTCTCAGCTGCAGTGGAGATGCACGAAGGGCTCCACGCCTCACTGAATGGGGATTCCCACGACCCAATTCTGGAGACAGCAATTCTGGCATTTGCGGATACCCATCTGAAATGGTGTGTGTCGTCTAAACGATATCAGGCAAAGGTAGAATAGGTAGTTGATTAGTCGTAAGGGTTTAATTGGGCTCAATATAAAGATGGCTTTTAAGGTATGCGATTGAGTTGACTCCACTTCGTCTATCACTCTGCAGGCGCCACGATGTGATAAGCAATAGCGCATGCAGCATGTACATGTAGTGTAATATGTCCAGTCAGCATTCGGAATCGGGAGAAGCGATGTGATAAGCCACACTCCAGTTGCATATATCCCACGAAAGTGGCGGTGAAGGATGTGGCGATGGATTCTTGATTGGATAGCCGTCCATTATGCGTATTTTTGTGGTGACAATTATGTGTTTATTGTCACTAACTATGTTGCTGCTTGCATTGCCGATAGACCATTCGAACCAATAGCTCAACTAGAGCCACGGTTCACTCCCAGGTTCGAGAGATCGGATATGGGCGCATTCTTCAACACCACTACATATGCAGGATACACTTTTAGGTCTCGTCAGGTGGCCTACATGGTTAGTTATGTATGCACAACTATGCGCATGGCTGTCGGCAAAGTTCACTATTGAAAAACAAAGCACACGTGTATGATTGTAGGAGCATCTAGATACTCACATTATCGAGCTAGGAAGTAAGGGCGAATCTGGAAAGGCCGCCACGAGATGGTCATGATATAATGACAGAAAGCTGATGTACGAACAATGTATGGTGTAGATGACCAATGTTGAAGACTCTAACTAAAATGACAAAACCCGCTAACTATTTCAACAATCTGTGCGGTAGTGACGACTAAACGTAACATATAATATGCCTGGTACTCGGAGTCATATGATGCTCATGGTATAATACCTGGTTTCTACCATGTATTCGGACTTGGTATTCGACATATAACAAAGAGGTTTTAGGTTTTTCTAAAAATAGATCATGGTGTTTCCTCTTTGGATTACAAACTTGTTTTCTCTTCATGTACGTGTCCAATTTCAGGTAGTTTGACTTGGTTTCAATAGCTCACAAGGTCCTTCCACGGCTGTGTTCTCGGGACAAGGAGATGTTCCCTCTCTACAACTGACCTTGCCTCCGTCGGTTTCGCTCAGTTCATGGTCTTCTCTCCACTTCCACTATAACTGAATAAGTACGGCTTCCGAATACTCCGACTAGAGAGGTTGAAAGACTTCATGCTCAGACGATTTCAACTACTCTAACTCGGGAATGACAACGGAAAGACCAAGCTTGAGTTTCATGCGACGAAACAGCTAGATCAGAATTCCGTGTTCTACTACATCCGAATATCGAGAAACTAGAGCAACAGAGTTCAAAATATCAAGCACGGGGAAGGGTGTACCTAGGTAGAGTAGAGTGCTCACCCTAGCTATGTACGTATACCCCCCGGAAAATGGTGCCCTCACCTACACCTATCGAGTTATTTTTAAGGCCGGCCACGAAGACGGCAATGATAGTTTCAGCTCGCAATGCATAGACTTCAGTATTGTTGCGCAAGTCACCTTCACCTATATTCGCATAATACTAGGACGTACATGATCCGTATGTAGCGAGTGAACGGCCCCCCGGGACCGGGAAGGCCCTACAAAGTACAATCTAAGTGGGGTTGAACATGTGACTGGACATAACTAGTTATGTTAGGCAGTTACGCCACCTAGGCAGTCAGAAAACAACATCCAAAACTGTCTATCGCGAAAAGGCACGGCCAGCCACACGGAAGTACGTGTCAAAAGGATATCAAGAGCTCCCGTTATTTATCATTAGAGTGAATCGCGATTCAGAAATGCCTATTTCTGAACCAGAAACAATCGCAAGTCGCGTTGAGGAATGTCCAGGATATAAGACTACCATCCACCGGCAGCCTGGGATCAATGCAAAATCAGCGATCAACCAAGTCCTGAATACTCCAGAAATCCTGGAGATGATCCTAGCTGAGATGGATATGCGCACGCTTCTTACATCTACTCAACGAGTCTGTCGTACCTGGCTAAACCTGATCAGCAAGTCACCGTCAATCCAAAAGGCTCTTTTCTTCACTCCGATCAAGGAATCCGAATGGGGAATGGACGAAACGACACCTAATCCGCTCTTGGCGCAGACCTTTCCTTCTTTCTTTCCTGCCAAGGGGCGATTGAAGAACTACCGGTTCAACTTTTCCGACTTGGCCATGACCAAGGACGCGTCAACTATGGCTCGATTCGTACGCGACGACGCAAGCTGGCGCAAGATGCTAGTCCAACAACCTCCCATCTCGGATATCGGAATTTTACATATTTCTCATGGAATGGGCGGCGATAGTGCTGGAAGCTCGAACATCCCGGTCAGTTTCCAATCCACACCACGATCTGGTTTTAGTCTCAGGTGGCTAATATATGATGTGTAGGCGGATAAAAAGACGCAATCCGGACATGATGGTCTTCGGATGGAAAGACTCTTCGAGCTTTTGCTCTTCAGTAACCAGGTTCAATTTTTCAGTTACACTAAAACACGGGTGTATTGGTCTACCGAAAATCCCATCTCATTTGACGAAAGCTATCAAAACATCAACGATGAGTTCCACCGGGTGATTAGCAAGTTTGGCTTGGTTTTCTTTACACGCAAGGTGGTTCAGTGCTCTCACGGCATGGGTAATTCTCCAAGTACCGAGGAACTTATCAGGAAGGAGATTACAACAGCATATATGGAACAAGGTTTGGATATTGATCGGAGGAGAAAGGATATCGAAGAATCGAGCGGTGAAATAGTTGGCTTTAGGGGGTCTTCTTTAAGATAGCGAGAAACTTTTGATACGATGTAAGTCGGAGACCGCACTATGGTAACGCTATCATATTTAAATAGCCTACGGAGCGGTGCAGACCAGCTAGGGGCGTTTTAGGGGCCTTTCATACGATACAGAGAGAAATGGTCAAATCATCATTGGACAGTTCTTATCCTGACCAATATCAAGACAAGAACTAACTACCGAAATATTCACACAATGAGTTCAATGGACAGAGTTGAGTCGTCCTAGTTGGGATAGCAGAGAAAACGATTGTCATGTTGAATGCTTTGTTGTGATTGGTCCTTCCTATTGGGTTCTCAGCTCCGGCAGATCTAATAACTTCAGTCGATCCTCGCTTAGAATCCTCTGTGTCGTAACCCGGTCAGGATGGTTCCTCATGAACATGTTTGTGAAGTGGGTTCCGTAGTGTATTGTTTCATCTGGAGGCTGGCCATCATAAAGTTTCGCAACTGGAGAAATCACAGCTTGAAAGCTAGGCTCATGGAAGTAGGCGAAGGCGAATCGCTCGCGGGTATTGAGGCCAACCTTGTGGGGGGTGGATGGTAGGTAGGAGTTGGTCATAAACTGCATTATATCCCCTAGAGAATTGACGTAAAACATTTCAGTATACTGAATAGGAATTCTGTGGTATTTGTGGAAGGCGAAGAATAGACAAACCTGGGAATACTGTGAAGACTCCAGGTACAGGAGGTACATAGACCCATCGTTCATCATCTTCGCGGAAGCCTGCGGCGCTTTTCTTCCAATTCTCCAGCTTCTCATCGGCTGCCGGGGGGCGAATAAATAGGCCTTAAATGATCAATGAAATGAACATATGTCTAGGGATACAATGGAAATCTCACCTCCAACCTCATCCTGGCCTGCAATGACCAAGAGACCGTAGTCTGTGTGAGACCCAATGCCGCGGCCCTCTTTTCCTCTTCCATTGGTCTTGGTATTTTGGGGGAACCTAAACGTCACGGTCAAAATACATTGACAGTCATTTTTAAAAAAGAACCCATGCAACCTACCTCAGGACACGGAGATGGTGCCATCCATCCTTGGTTAAAGAAGTTAAAGTCTCAGGGTCGAGACCGAGTCCGTACTCAATAACCGTTTACTAGCAGCAGACGCTTTATCAAAGAGATCCTGCTGCTTAGGATTCATCGAAACCTGAAGTATACCATCTTCACGCCACGCATTGATCATCGCCTTCCCCATTTCAATGTCTCTGGCAGATCCAGTAGCCTTCTCCGGCAAAGTGAACGTCTTGAGCTGCCCAACACGTGCCACAGAATTTGGTGGCATTGTGCTACCTAAATCGTTCGGTGCTGTAGTAGTCGTCAGGCTTTTTGTCTGCTGGCCCGCAAGGAGTATTGAGCTCGCATGGCGAATAGAGTTGTGAGACATAACGGGTGGACGTAGTGCAATAGTGACAGTCCGATGTGAGAGAATATCACTTTTTTTCGAATCTTTGGATCAGCCTTTGCCTTGAAGTCGGGGTTCAATCACCTTACTGAACAGCTATATCAGAGAAGGACAATGGTATGTTGCTCTCAAATCTTGCGGAGTAGCTCTCTACTTATAGCTCGCTAATACATAACTACGAGGGGTGGTGGAGTGTTTACAACTATCTTAGACAATCAATGAGGTTGTATGAAAATCCCTCACACCTTTTCGTCAAGGGCTATTTGTAAAATAAATCCCCTCTAGGCTGGCGGCATAGCCCCAGCTGGGTTAGCTACATGGGAGTCTACTTGTTAACCACACTGACATTGGCGGTTAAATGTAGTATGACAGTCTGAATACGTTAGGGCTCACCTTCCTTATGCATCAATGCGGCAATACTGATGGCTTAATACAATATCAAACTGGATCAAAACAATAATCCCAGTACCTACACGTCCGCAGGTTACACCATAGGGCATCAGAGGATTTCGGCAATCTGTTCTACCGTGATATATTGTCAGCCCAATGATGATCGGTATCCATGTGGATTGACGTGTATAACCGTTAGATTTTATATCTACACTTTACGTATAGGGTTCACGCCGCTCCAGACTTGTAACATTTGGGTACTGGCATTTTTCTAGGGTACTTCAACTTGCCCCCAATTCCATTCATTTGATCAAATGTTTTTTGTTTTCTTGATCAGAATCAATGTCATCTCATATATCTGTTCCCCTGTGCCTTTGTTACCTGTTATCGTGTATTAGCTAATTTATTACACAGACCCGACGGTAGCCACTGCTTCGCATGATCATTTAGGAGCCCGGACATGGCCATGGCCCTTGTTTATATTAATTATTTGAGACCTTTCCTATAGGATGTATTTCCACTAAGAAGGCTCTACCATGGGGATGGTTACACAATAGCCAAACCGGGGTCAACTGGCATGGCTGACTGTCGCTGAGCTAGTCATTTCATCTTGGCAGCTTGATTTGGAAACTGGCTAAGGATGGTTACACAAAGACGACATTTATACGGAATTGATGCCAAGAAAATTATGTCACTGAAATTAGTTACCTCCGAAGTCGTCTTGGCTTTTTGCCCCCAACACTGGCAGCGTTGCCTGAAATGGAACTTACTCAACAATAGCTTGACTGCGAATACCCGGCAGATTTGCATCTAGCATTACAGACGAGGTTGAGAGGGATATCGGAAGTGAAGTAGCTTGAAACAGTTACTGAAATTCTTCAAACAAGCACTATCTCCGATGAAAAGTTTGCTGAGCTTGTTTCCACAGCGCAGAAATACTTGTGCGAACATGACCTCTCATCATACAGATTCAAGTCGTCGGAACAATATCGGCAAGTGCTCAGGTATCACGACCTGATACGGCTAGATATTCAAAGATTCAAAGAGACCGACCGGAGAATTGGAGTATATTGGAGTATATCATTGGACAAATCGATTCCAGAAAGCTTGTCCCCGGGATATTGGAGTAAAGATTTGCTGCATTTGCTACCAACTCTTGGCAACCACAAAAGTCACGAGGAAATAATAGCCCTTTCCAAGGTTCAGAGGAAAGCATACGTAAGAGACTCAAACAAGCACGGGATGTTTCCCCTGATAGCTAGCGATGTTGAGTGAGTTCTCCGAGACTTATTTATACCATGTAATAGGACATCAAGATCCTCCCAGCGTATGCATCTTGGCCTTTGCTCTGAGTGTTACTAAACATCTTCTAGGTCCCTATGATCAAATTAACTAATGGGCTACCCACAACGTTGAAGCATACTGTGAACACGCCGTACGTATAAACCCCAGTCCACTAGACCTGTGCAATAATAAATCAAAACCGATCTTGTAGTGTCGTTGCACATGGTCTCCTATTTGCCTACTTATTCAGGTTTGATTCTTCCCAGGATGTCCTGGAAGAATGCAGGGCAATCTTTGAGAAAGTCAACAGTGAAATTGAGAAACGCGACACAGAAAAGGGAACAAATCGACTTCTTCGTGGGGCACAAAAGATCACATTAGCGTCTCAGAGCCCAGATATTGATCTGTTGGAGAATCTGGAGAGGCTGAAGTCTGCCATGTTTTTCAATGCTAAACAACCGGAAATATGCGGGCCAGCTTCCCAAGTACGTTAAAGGTGGGTGGGCAGGGTATATATATATTAACAATCGTTAGGAAAGACGATCAGCGAAATCTAATCCAACCCCCTGTTGAAGAAAAGAACGAGAATGATAGTACCTTTTACCAATTGAGTCAATTTACGCCTACGATCACCTTGAAAGCGGACGAACCCCTTCGAGTTTCTACTAGAGGTTTAAGCAGAGAGCCGAAACCTTCTTCTCCAACTCAGGATTCGTCCTCCCTGATGGAAATCAAAGAATATTCTCGTCTCGTGTGGAAGCCGCTCCGAAAGATCGACGCGTGCCACCATAGCTTGGAAAAGAGCCGAGTTCTCAGAATTAGGAATGCTGTCATAAATGTGCATTCAGTGGAAGTCTCTCTTTTCCATCACACCTACGGGGACTATGCAACGTACTTACTTCATGATACTGTTTTTAATTGCAGGGACTCTTGTCATGCTAGTCCTAATAGGCCTACTTCACCTATCCGATTTGGGTAATAGTAGTAATGTTTTTTTTATATATTTCGCCGGGTTCAACTGAGCAAATCTCGAAAAAAATTAAAAAAATAAGATTGGGTCTCAGGTTTGGATAACAACATCCTATATCGTGCAATATATATGCAGCCCTGGAGGTCCTTGCTATATTATATGATCCCAGTGTAATATCATAATACACTATAGAGCTGATCGATCCAAAAAAAGAAAAATGTACGAGCGCCAAGATCTAGAGGCAAATCTTGATTTCGGAAGTTGATAACCGCAGAATTTCCACCGTGTAGCCGTTGCACGATTTACAATATGCTATATTCTGGGTTGTAACTACAATTATAGCCTATCATTTGAGAAGAATAACGAAGAACATAATAATGTCAATCTGACAATCTATCAACAATACTCCTTAAATTTGGGCGATGATATCAGCCAATGACTTGTGTGGCTGAACTCACCCACCCAAATAAATTAAAATGATCTCATACCTCCCGAAGTCCCTTGACAGGTACCCCGACCGTGACCCGGTTTTGTTTATAACTTTTGTTTCGGCCTCCTAAATATATACAACATAACAAATCGTCAAACAAATGTCATAGGTGGTTCGTGAAATTCGTCATTTGGGCAAGATGCTCATTGCGGATATATGATTCTTTGTATAGGAACTGTTCATGTGGATAAACATTGAGTTGGTGGATCGTTGCACTGTTCACGAGTTTTCATATAAATTCTGATGTAATGATGATTCAAGGTATAGCTGTCCAACCAGGGATTTGCTTTTTGAATTTTTCTCCAAACAGGGATAATGACAGACAGGGACAGGAAGTGACAGATAGTGGAGGCGAATTTGACAGTGGACATTGTATGTGGTCTGTCTGATAGATCTCTGATTTGTTCGCCCACATGTTTCCACGTTGGCTATAGCGTGGCTCCGGGGAGTATCCATGGAAATACCTTGCCATTCGACCAATTATGTTGCTTTGGGTTTCAATTGTCCAGATAGTCTAGTACCTTGGGACTTGACGCACGCACTTCAGGAACATAACATTAGTGGAATTATGTTTGTAAATATTGCAGTTGTACTCGGAGATGCCGTCGTTCGTGTAACGAAACCAAGCAACTTTACTTCGCGAAGTCAAGCAATAGGCGGGCGTATTAGTGTAGAAATTCGGTTGCTCCAAGTTGTACAGCTCAATCTACCATGCTAAAGAAGCACAGATCTCCACCTCCACTCTCATTCTACACCTCGATTCAGCCACACCCCTTTCAATACCCCAATCCCGGCTGTCTAATTCGTGCGTCCACCCTGCAGGACTGTACGGATCAACTATTTCGCAGACCAATCTCCACCAGGAAGTCATCTAATCGCCCCACTCCATGATGCCGATGATGCCACTAACGGCCCTACCGTACGTTGTATAGATTAACTCCATGGCGATCCCCCATACAGGGATTTTAAGCAAAAATGATAATAGTAAATAAGCCGTTATGATATCAACGGTCCATGACGTAGTAGGCTCTACAGGTGTCGTACTTGGTCACGATACTTGTATAGACAGCTATGATGGTGGACTTATTTGATGATATCAGAATCACTGAAGTCTTTATATAAACGCTTAAACCCATTCCTGGAGTTATCAATTTCATTCTTCAAACATATTCTATTTCTATCCATCTAGAAACAACCGCCTACCGACACTACTTTCGAACTATACGCTGTCCCCGGGATTTGTACATTATCAATCCAACCGCATACATTTTTACGAAGTATATCTGACGCCTAACGGACACGACTGTATTACGTTCAACTTCTTCAATTATCTAACTTGATTTTGATTCTTCATCTCCACAAACATCTAAAACAAACCCAAAACGACAATGTCTTCTCCCGCCGTGAACAAAGCACCCCCTAAGCTGGGCTCCAAGGCCGGAACCCCCGCCAAAGCCCGCAAAGCCTCCGGCTCCAGCACAGCCAGCAAACCGAGCACTGCCGCCGCCGGAAGTCCCAAAGCCACGAAGAAGGCAGCAACACCCCGCAAACTCTCCCAGAAAGCCCCCGAACCAGTCGACGACGACATCGAAGAGCAATCCATCCCAGAGACACCCTCCCCAAAGTCAAAGAAACGCACTGAGCAGCGCCGTCCCATCTCCCCACCCGACGACGCAGCCTCCCAGGCGCCTTCTGCCTCCGGCTCCGCAGCACCACTCGGCCGCGCCTCCTCAGGCTTGGCTGGTAAGGCTAATGGCCTTGCCGGCAAGACGAAGGAGACAGTCCAGCAGGGTTCCGAGATTGTCCAGAATGGCGCTAAAGATGCCACCCAGACTGCCACTGATAACCTGCCTGTGCCATTTGACCTGTCTGCATTGAAGGGTCTTGAGGTGGCTGAGGGTGGGAATATCCTTGGAGAGGATGGGAACCCAATTGGCAAGGTCGTTGAGGGGGATTGGGAGGATCTTGTCGAACAGACTGTCGGTGATGACGGGGAGATTATCGATGAGGAGGGTGATTTGATTGGTCGCGTCGATATCCTTCATGAGGTCGCGGACCAAGCTAAGAATGCCGCCGATGATGCTCAGGAAAAGGCTGGAGATGTCGATCTGGACAATGTTGTTACGGATATCGCTCAGCTCGAAGGACTTCCTGTTTCTGATGGCGGTGTTATCAAGAACGCTGCTGGTCAGATCGTCGGCCGCATTGTTGAGGGTGATCCTGAAGATCTTATTGGGTATACCCTCAATGAAGATGGTGAGATCGTTGATGAAGAGGGCGATGCCATTGGTCGAGTTGACTTGATTCCTGTTGAGGAGCAGAAGAAGGCCATTGAAGGTGCTGCTGGTGATGCCACTGATAAGGTCGGTGGCGCTGAGGATGACATTGAGGATCAGTACGAAGATGCTCAGGACGGTGTCTCTACTGAACAGGCTAAGGGCGCCGTTGATGGCGTCGCGGATGAGGTTGGAGACGATGTTTCTGATGTCGAAGGAAATGTCGACAAGACTAAGTCTACTGCCGGAGATAAGGCCCCCGACGCCGAAGACACTACTGATGCTGTGGATGGTGTTATCGACGACGCGAAGGACACCGCCGAAGATAGCAAGATTGACCTCGAAGACAATGTCGAAGGTGCTAAGGATACGGCCGAAGGTGCCGGTGAAGACGCCACGGATACCCTTGACGAGAAGGTCGAGGGTGCCAAAGACACCGCCGAAGATACCGCCAAAGAGGCTAAGGAAACCGCCGAAGACGGGGTCGAAGACGCCAAGCAACAAATCCCCGGCCTCGAGACACTCGAAGGGCTGATCTGCAACAAGCTCGGCTACATCATCGACAAATCTACCGGCAAGCCCGTTGGCCAACTCACCGAAGGCGACGCTAAGAAACTATCCAAGCTTGGTGCCACACTCGACGACAAGGGCCGGTTCTGGGATAACCGCGGCAACGTGATCGGCCAAGCCAAGGCCCTCCCGGTTGAGGAGGATGAAGGCGAAGAAGGCCCCTTCTCCGGTCTGGAGGGCCTGGTCGTCGGCGAGGACGGCTTTGTTGAAGACGAGAACTCGACCCGCGTCGGCCGCCTGATCGAAGGCGATGCGAAGAAACTGAGCGGTCGTGGCGTCGACGAGGATGGCGAGATCCTCGACCGAAAGGGCAACGTCATTGGCCGCGCTGAACGCCTCGAACCTGAGGAAGAGCCCGAGGAGGAGGAAGAGGTTGGACCTGATTTCTCTGCTGTCAATGGTCTTTACTGCAACAAGGCTGGCTATGTCATCGGACCCGATGGGTATCCCATTGCTATTGTTGTCGAGGGCAACCCCAAGGAGCTTGCCGGTAAAAAGATCGAGGACGGCGAGATCTATGACGGAAAGAAGGTCGTTGGTCGTGTTGAGCTCATTCCTGAGGATGAGCTCGAGACCAAGCCGGAGGGTCCGTTCGCTGGCATGGAGAGCCTCTTTGTGACCAAGGATGGATTCGTCGAGGATGATGAGGGATCCATTGTTGGTAAGCTTATTGAAGGTGACGCTAAAAAGCTTCGCGGTCGCGCTGTCGACGAGGATGGCGAGATCACCGATAAGTACGGCAATGTCAAGGGTCGTGCTGAGCCCTACGAGCCTCCCCAGGAGGAGGCTCCCGCCGAGGAAGACCTCTCTATCCTCGAAGGCAAGGTTGTCAACAAGTCTGGTAACGTTGTTGACCCCGCCACTGGTGCTGTCGTCGGACGCATTGTCGAAGGTGACAAGCGCCTCGCTGGATGCAAAGTCGATGCCAAGGGCCAGATCTGGGGTGACAATGGGAAGGTCGTTGGACGCGCCGAGCTCATTCCAGGCGCCGAGCAGGACAAGGCTGAAGGACCATTCTATGGCTTCGACAACGCTGTCGTCGGTAAGGATGGAGTGGTCCAGGACGGCGCGAAGATCATCGGACGTCTCATTGAAGGCGACGCCAAGCGCCTTCTCGGCCGTAAGGTTGACGAAGACGGCGATGTCCTCGATAAGAACGGCAACACCATCGGCAAAGCCGAGCGTTGGGAGCCCGAGGAGAAGAAGCGCGATGTCAACCCCATGTCTGGGCGCAAGATCACTAAGGAGGGCGAAGTCCGCGATGCGGACGGCAACCTCATTGGAAAGCTGACTTCGGGTAACCTCGCCACGCTGGTCGGCAAGACCATTGACGACAACGGCTATGTTGTTGACAATGATGGCAACAAGATCGGCGAATGCACCTTGCTTGAGAATGTTCCGGAGCCTGAGCCTGAGGAGCCCGAACGGGAGGGCCCCACGGCTGAAGAGCAGGAGGCTGCGGCAAAGGCCGAATCTGACCGCCAGCTCGCCGAGAAGATGATATCCATCCTCAGCCAGACTCTCGATCGAGTCAACCCTGTTTGCAAGCAGATCGAGGAGGTAAGTTCCGGACATATGAATCCCGCGAAAGCAACAGTACTAACACAACATCTAGGCCTGCGAAAAAGCCGACCGCGCCCCTAAGGAGGAACTCGACGAGGAGAAGCTTGTCCAAACCGTCAAGCCGCTCCTCGAAGAAGGCGGCCGCATTCTGCAAGAGTGCAACGGAGCCATCCGGGCACTCGACCCTGATGGACGCATCGCCGCGACCGCTAAGGCGCGCGCTGCTTCCCGTGACGCTACTCCCGAGGAGTACCAGCTTGCCGACATGATCAAGGAGCTCACTGAGACGGTCATCAAGACCATTGATAACGGCAAGAAGCGCATCGCTGATATGCCTCATGCTAAGAAGAAGCTGAACCCCCTCTGGGGTCTGCTCTCTGAGCCATTGTTCCAGATCATTGCTGCTGTTGGCTTGTTGCTTAACGGTGTACTTGGACTTGTCGGTCGTCTCCTTGATGGTCTTGGCCTTGGTGGATTGTTGAATGGTCTCCTTGGCAGTCTTGGATTGGACAAGTTGATTAATGGACTTGGTCTGGGCAGTTTGACTGATGCTCTTGGACTTGGAAAGAAATGAAAAGTTGGAAGGAATTTGGTTTGAACTTCTGGTTGGCGGTGCTTCTGTGACTGTCTATTTTTGCTGTTCTTGTTAGCGTTGATTGCTTTGCTTGTGATGTACTGTTCTATTCCCTGTACTATGAATTCTCTCGGAATTAATGGACTTGGACTTGATTTTGATTCATTTTGATCTATTCACAAATATTAATAGTCTGGTAAAGTACAAGTACGCAGAATAGCAGGACACAATTCCCATGCTTGGTTTCATCAAAATTCACCCCTCTGGGATTTGTTATATCTCTCATCAGATCAAGATAATAACGGATATGTGGAAGGAATGGACATGTTCATAATTACAATGAGGTTGAACATGTAAACAATGCACCGCTCAGGGCACTTTAGTGGCAGCTCCCAACGGGGGAACTGCCCAATTGAACTAATGTCGATCGTCGAGTCTTGCATGGAAGATGGCGTGGCGCATACTAAGTTAATGTGTCTTTGATGTGTCAGTCGAAGCGCGAGACTGAGTTATGTGGGACGATTCACCGAGGTTGCGATAGGCTCTGTCTCTAGCAGCAGCCTTGTCCTTCCGGATAGTAAGGCAGTTGATACCGAGGAAAGTCGTGATGCGGTTGATAACAAGAACAGCCCAGTGCATGTAGATAACCAGGGCAAAGAAGAAGTACACCCAGAGATACAACAGTTCCAACCATGGGGCAATGACCGGGAAGCCGATAATGGGCAGGTTAATGAGGACCGCGCCACCGATGAGGGGAGCCTGCATAACAGTCCAGAGGGGGAAGGGCTGTCTCAGAAGATGGGCCAAAATGATCATGGTGGTCATGCGTCCGAAGACGAATGCAATAACCCAGCAAAACAAAACCAGGTGGTTCCCGGAAAGAATTGTCGAGTAAGGCGAGAACAACCATGCAATGTTGGAGAAAGTGAAGACGATCATAGGCACCCACTCCTTAAGCAAAGGGGTGAACGGCAAGCCCTGCTTCTTGCGGGCCTCAGCTACATTCATAACACATCCGGGGAGATGCCCGAGGAAGAAACCACCCAGGAGAATTGGAACCCAGAGGTCCTTGACGGAGTTGTTGCCGAAGATTTGAGGGACGTTAAGGAACCCAACAATGGGTTGAGACCACATTCCAGGGCCCCAGATTCCGGAGGCAATCATAGTTGCACAGGCGATGATCAGACCCTCAGTTGGGCCATTGAAATAGCCGAGGTAGAGGGTGTGGGTGTGGAAGGTCTCCCATGTCGAGAAATACATGGCCAGGCAAGGCACCAGTGCAGTCCAAGCACCAAGTTGCGAAGCTCCAAAACCCATTGCGGCTGTCGACAGCAGACTGGCTAGGGTGCAGTTCAAAGAGTCGATACCGTGACTGTACCTGATTAGTGATCCCATCCATGGTTTTCGGAGGGTGGTACAAACTCAAAAAGTTCTCCGAGTCCACTGGATGTCCCAGTTCGGCGTGCCTGTTTACCATCCACATTGTCGAGGGTAGAATACCTAGTTCATGTGAGTTTCAATTACATAGATGGAGGGATGGGCGGTCACTCACATCCACATGCCAAGAGCGAAGCTGTAGTAAATCCAAGCGGGGCCCTAAAATATCTGGTTAATTCGCCACTTCCGATGAAACACCGACTGAGGAACAGGAACAGAGATACTCACGGGTCCCACCATATCTGGCACGAAAATCTGAATGATAAAGATATTGGCCACGATCCACATGAACCCAAGAAGGGTCACCATGTTCGGGGCCATCCACATCGGCACAAGCTCGACGAAGGCATTCCACTAAGCAGAGGAAAAGTCAATTGTTTATTCCGAAGTAATGGAACTAACTCCTGCATGGTTTCAAGGTTGTCATACATAGTGCTTCAAGATATACCGAGAAATGAACGACTTGTCAACACTCGAGTACTTGTAGGACTTAAGGGGTAGGAGGGCATCGTCGGAGAGTGAATCCTGGGTCTCTGTAGGGGTTGAACATTCGAATTAGCAAATTACTCGGAATAAATATACCGGTCACAGTCTTCATATCACCAACCTTGGACCATCTGATAGATCGCGTTCATTTTTGAAGATTAGGTCGTGTCACGCGCGGAGTTGTAGTATAGTCGGGGGGTTAAACACCAACACCTCAGTTCATAGCGAGGTGGGCAAACAAGTGGGTAAAATGGACAAATGCCCGAATCAAATCATGCCTTTGAACACAAATGTCGACTCTCAAGAATCTCAGGAATACGTGGAGAAAAGGAGAAGCGGGAAATGTCCCAGATGGATTTTCAGGTCGAAATCACGTGCCATGCTCCGCATCGGGAACGCGAACAAGGAAGCTCGACTTGACCGAGAATCACACGGGATTTGCCAGTGCATTGTTCGGACTTAAGTTGCATTGCCGCATCTAAGTGTACCCTCGAACTCATCAACTGCGCCTCACTTAAGCCTTCGCCTAGCCTACCATCTACTTCAGCGCCGTGCAATACTCGACCGTGCACCATAAGCGCGTAATCGCCCATCTCGCATTTCACCGTCATCTAGAGCTTGAATCTGCGCCACGCAAACTGCTCTTAGATTTCTTTCCGCCCCCGACGCTGCAATCACCTATCGAATCCGGTTGGATATGACGGTGGATGGTCTTCACAGCGCTCCCGGCGCGTCTCGTCACTGAGGAATCTTCAGATCTTCACGATGCCGGGTGTTGTCGAACTCCCCGTCGGTACCGCGGCACGCCCGTTTGATCTGGGATTCAGCGTGGGACATCAGAAAGTCGAACTTGAGATCGATCTGGCGTCCAAAAGCCTGAAAGGAAGGACGGAAATCACAATTCACCCTCGCCGTAGAGATCTAGGAACAATTTGGTTGAATTTTCGACAAGGCGAGGTCAAGCAACTGAGCGTTAACGGCAAGCCTACAACAACAAAATACACCGATCACTATGAGTCGCTGCAACTATACGGCGCACACTATCACGAACGATTGACACCAAAGATCCATAGCCTCTTACAAACTCCCCCAAGACCTACCCTACCAATCACGATTCCGAAGGGCGTCCGCATCGATGAACTGGACCCATCTTCAGCCGAAGCACAAGATCAAATCGCGCTACAATCTACTGTCGACAATGTCGATGGCCCTTCAGGTGCCAGAGCGCCAGAGGCAAACCTTCCGCGATTTACGGCTCTGACAGTGAATATCGAATTTTTTATTGATCATATTCGGGATGGCTTACAATTTGTCGGTGTCGAGAATGGAGATCGACGGTATCCTCATGCCTATACCACCAACTCCCTCGAGTCTGGCATCGGCTGTCCCTTGTTTCCATGCGTGGATGATATGTCCTCGCGATGTACCTGGGAAGTTTCCATAACATGTCCTAACTCTCTTGGCGATGTCTTCGACCGCAAGAACCAAGACACACCTGGTGCAGGAACCCCATCCCGCTCCAAAGCGTCGACCCGCCAACTTTCTGCAGACGATGAGGGCCTCGATATGTCCGTGGTGTGCTCCGGCGATTTGACTGATGACATTGTGGATCCCAAAGATCACACACGCAAAACAGTTTCGTTTGCCTCATATTCGCCATTGGGAGCCTTACAAATTGGGTTCGCCATTGGTCCATTTGAGTATGTCAACCTGGCCGATTTCCGCGAAAGTGATCAAGATGAACAACTTGGCCAAAATGCCATTCCTTTGCACGCATTCTGCCTCCCAGGTAGAGCCGATGAAGTTCAAAACAGCAGCTTCCCCATGGCCCAGGCGATCGACTTCTTCTCTTTGTCGTACGGGTCGTATCCATTCGGCAGTTACAAGATTTGTTTTGTCGATGATCTCCCAACTGATAGCCTTCCCACTGCGTGCATGTCGATCTGCAGCAGCCATCTACTCTTCCCAGCCGAGATGATCGACCCCATGTATGACTCTACTCGGGCTCAGGTGCACGGTCTGGCATGTCAGTGGACCGGAATCAACATCATTCCTGCTGAGCCCTCGGATACATGGGTAACAGTTGGTGTGGCGTGGTACATTACAGATACGTTCATGAGAAAACTTTGCGGAAACAACGAATACCGTTTCAGACTAAAGCAGATGTCTGACCAAGTCTGCGACTTGGATTATGAACGCCCCTCGATATATGACATGGGTAACATTCTCAAGGTTGATCCCTCCGAATATCGTTTCGTTGCATTGAAAGCGCCTTTGGTCTTGTTCATTCTGGATCGCCGGCTGACCAAGGCTAGTGGCAAGGCCACGATGTCACGCATTATTTCTCGACTTTTCCTGAACTCTCGCATGGGTGATATACCCAATGGAGCTGTCACCTCTTCCCTGTTCCAGAAGACCTGTGAGCGACTAGGTCACGCAAAATTAGACGTCTTCTTCCAACAATGGGTATACGGCGCAGGATGTCCACGATTCCAGGCGACCCAACGATTCAACAAGAAGAAGCTCGTTGTTGAAATGATGATCAGACAGGTCCAATCTGAACCCCAAGCCCCTCGCGATCTCGACAAGGATTCCTTCTTGCGCGACGTGAAGGAAGAGGTCCGGCACGTCTACGCGGGCGCAGTTCAGCCGGTCTTCACAGGGTCGATGACCCTTCGGATTCACGAAGCAGATGGAACCCCTTATGAACACATTGTTGAAATCAAGGAGGGGGTGACGAAGTTCGACATTCCATACAACACGAAGTACAAAAGGCTCAAACGCAACAAAAAGCAACGAGAGAGAGCCGTCGCCTCGGGCGATGCTGAAGTCCAAGAAGAGGTTCTGCTCTACTGCCTGGGGGATGTCCTTCAGACTGAAGAAGAAACACAGGCTTGGCGTTTGGCTGACTGGACGAAAGAGGACGAGGAGCGAATGGGGCAGGAATCTTATGAGTGGATCCGAATGGATGCAGACTTTGAGTGGGTTTGTAAATTGTCTCTCGGTATGCCAGGGTACATGTATCTCTCCCAGCTTCAGCAAGATCGAGATGTTGTGGCCCAGCTCGAGGTGAGTTATATTTCTGTTTTCAACCAATGGAACACGATGCTAACATTCCCAGTCGTTACAATACATGACTGCTCAACGAGAGCACCCTCTGATTTCCACGATCTTTGTTCGCACTCTCATGGATAGTCGATACTTCCATGGCATACGTACCACGGCTGCGCGTGCCTTAGTGAAGCATGCTAAGGATGAGATTGATTGGGTTGGACTCCATCATCTTGAGATGGCATTTCAGGAGCTTTTCTGCCTCCCGGGATCTCCCATGACTCGCTCAAATGACTTCTCTGACCGAGCGGCCTACATCCTACAACAAGTCATCCCTGACGCAATTTCGAAAGTCCGTGACAACAGTGGGAAAACTCCATTAAGGGTGAAGCGATTCCTTTTCGATAAACTCAAGTTCAATGACAACTCGAACAACGAGTACTCAGACAACTTCTATGTTGCGTCCTTGATGAAGTCCCTATGCCATGCCATGCTCGGTAGGAGCGAGTCGCGGTCTGATGAAGAGTTGGACCATTTCGATATGGAACGTGTTCTTGAGGCTCAGGTCGAGGAACAACTGGACAAGGATGCCATCGCCGAGTTCGACCGCTACCGACGAATGGACGAATGGTCCAGCTCTTTCCAGAACCTCTACTCCCGAGCCGCACTTCAATGCCAGGCGCAATTAATGCAAGCCAATATGATGGACCTGGATTTGATGCGTTTTATCCCATATACGCGGGCAGGGACATATGACCTTCTCCGCATGCAAGCATTTCAATGCTTGGTCGATCTGGATATTTCCCAGAGTCCGGAGCTTCTTCGATGGCTCATGTTCACATTGTCGGCTGATTCCTCGGCCTGGATACGCCACCAATCTTTACGTTTGCTCGGTCAGACCCTAGCACATATTGCTTTTGGTCGTCCTCAACAAACTGAGGCCCTTCAAAATGACGGTTTGATCATCGAGCAAGAGTCCTCCACTCAAATCCGCCGAGACGATATCGCACGACGCCAGACTATTCCTGGCGCCATTGAAGCCCTCAAACGAGAGCTTGCTGGTGACACATCGATGAAGGAATGCATGTGGGCAGCATGCAACTCACCGTGCATGGGTCTCTTGGAGCTTTCCGAGCTGACTGACCTTTGCCGTACGCTGTATGACCCAATCACCTCTAAACTCGTGCGGATGAAGCTTCCGCGATATTGGAGTGTGCAAAATCAGGGTCATGGCAAGTTGCGTTTCTATCGATCTACCAAAGCCCGCATGGGTCCGTCTTCCAAGCGCAAGCGCGAGGATCAGGGTGCGCACCCACCCTCGTCAACCCGTATCACATTCAAGCAGACCAAGACTGGCCTCGCTCCAGGAACGCCCACCCCCAATCCTCTCCCCAAAATCCACATTCCCCGGCCATCGCCTGCGCTAAGCACAACCCCCAAAGCCCCTGCCACATCTACACCCAAGCTGAAGCTCAAGTTTAGTAGTCGACCAACATGAATATCTAACGTTGTTCCTTCGAATATCACATGTATTTTAACATTATCTCTTTTATTATTTCCGTCCGCAGCGATTGACTCAGGCAGGAGCATATAACCAAAGCATGCTCCCGGGCGCCATGTCGATTCAGCTTTATCTTCTGATTGCAATACCAGCTAGCTGTGTCTTATCTTCATCCCCCTAGCAAATTTCCAGTGTAGGTATAGACAGTCAAAAGTCATTGGGATAGCCATAATAGTCTAAAATGCGCCCTGGCAAACGAGTAGAAAAAAAGGTAGAACAGAAAAGGTTTTGATTGTTCCCATAAGAGAAACCGACCCAGAAACTCCCAGTAGCATTAGATCTTTTCCCAGCACTCGGTGATCGAGTGGTGCCTATGTGCGTGCCCCTTCAATCAAAAGAAACGTCGTAGATCGTGTGTAGATGTGTGACCTATTTATCGGTAATGCGCTCGAGGGCCTCGAGCATCACGACGGAGTTACCGCGAATGACCTGATACCCAGTATCTGTTAGCGGGGTTCTTAATATATCCGTCGATAGGAATTGAACGTACGGTCATGCCAAGGGCAACCTTCTCTCCGCCTTGCTTCTCCTCGCATGCCTCATCTAGAACAATGTTCATGAAGACCTGTGTCAAAACATCGTTAGTTATTCCCCGTTTGATCGGTACTGTCTTCGTCCCGTCTTGCATGGCGCCATGGAGTACCCCTGTATCCCGAAAGACCAGGTCATGGGGTGTACACATACATCGTAGCCTCGGAGAATACCATTCACTTTGCGGTTGCCGTTCAGTTGGCAGAAGACCCGCTTCTCCATGTACTGCAGAAAAGACGCAACGTCAGCCAAAAGATCTCAGGACTAAAAAGAGGGCACATAGTAGGAGCAGTACTCACCTTCTTCAATTCAGGCTGAGCTTGAGGCATATTGGGCGAGTTGGTTGGGTATCTTGGGATTTAGCAAGATTCAAGTCACCGCAGTGGCTTTGGGAGTTTGGTGCAAGCTGTGTCGGAGAAACGATCTTCCGGATATGCGATAT